AATAAACGACAATTAAACATGGCGCGGTCGGTTAGTGGTTATGTGTGCGGATTTTAAAGTACAGTAAACAGTAATACGTGATGAGTGACAATGTGACATTGATAAGCTGACCCAGCTGCTCCTGCAGCAGGCCGAGCTGTCGGCGCAGCGCGAGGAGCGTCTCGGTCAGCTCGTGGAACGGCTAGTCGCTGATCGACAGCCGCCTGCTCTTGTCGCTGGGGACGATGCACTCCCCGCGACCCGGCCCACGGCGGCCGCCCCGCCCGTGCGACTGCCGGCTGCCGCGACACCGGTGCCGCATCTGTCAGCATCTACTTCGCTGCGTGACTTCGCCGTTTGGAGGGAGAAGCTGGATGGCTATATGCTTCTCACTGGCGCGTCATCACTACCCGTTACTGCCCAGCGAGCCGCTCTCCTAAGCCTCCTCGACGAGGACTGGCACGGGGTGCTGCGTTACGGCCTCAGCGTCACGGACGATTCTCCCCTCTCCGAGGTGGTGGACGCAATGGAGAGCCATCTCCGAAAACAACGCAGTGTCCTGGTGGACCGTCGAGCCTTCTACGCCCGGGTACAGGAGGAGGGCGAAAACTTTGATGAGTTTTTGTGCGATACGAAGGAACTCGCAGCGTTTTGTGACTTTTGCACGCATTGTTACGACTCACGTTTGCGTGATAAGATCGTGTGCGGCCTGCGAGATGAAGAAACAGTGAAACGGCTGTTGGAGGATCCAGAACTCGACCTCAAGAAAGCCGTAGACATCTGTCGTGCGTCGGAAAACGCCCGCGTATGTATGTATGTATGAATGTATGTATGTATTGACGTTAACAGGGCAATCCACAATAGTTTGTGGCTATTACAGCCCAAAGTCACATGATGGTGGGTAAAAACATGCAGGTGAGAGAAATCACAGTCACACAATACGAAAAAAGCACTCACGTTACACACTTGGTACTCAGGGGCACCTTACAATCTTTATCGGGCTAGTCACGTGTTTGAACTCAAAATGTGAGTTCTCACTGCTTGTGTAAAACATCGGCGAGACAGCTCAGTGACACCAGCAGGCAGCGAATTGTATAGGTCGGGTGCACGGTAGGCGAAGCGACGCCTACCAGCCTCGGTTCTAGGCCTGGGTAGGCGGAGGAGACCGTCCTGTCGGGTGCTCCTCTGGCGGGTGTCACGACATCGGGTGAACAGACCCACCAGCGAGTCCGGTTCCCTCCGCCGCAGCACCCTGTGCACTAGATCTAATGTCTGAGCCTGGGACATTTGACGAGGCGTCATCCATCCTAGTTGTTCACGAAGATCAGAAACATGATCAAATTTACGTCGGCCAAATATCACCCTAATTGCAAAATTAAGTACCTTTTGAAGTCGGTCGAAATTTTTCTGTGAGCCGTTTCCATATACAGTCATACAGTATCGCAACTTCGATAGCACAAAAGCAGTGACCAAGACCTTTATGACGCCGTCGGGAAGATAGTGGCGACAGTGGGCTAGGCTGACCAGGACCCCGGTGCACTGGCGGCTCAGCTCGGACACATGTGATTCTCAGGTCAGGGCGCTGTCAAATACGACACCCAGGTTCCTCACCTCCGCTTGTGGTTTCAAAACTGCATCGCAAAAGTTTACTGCAATGTCCGGAAGAGACCGTAGATTTTGTCGGCTGCCAAAGACTGCAAGTTGGGTTTTGTTGGCATTTACTTTAAGGGCATGAGAGGTGAACCAGCAGTTGCGTGAATGAAGTGAATGTTCCATGCGAGAGGTGAGTCCCCTGACGTCGTCTTTCGGCCCGCTCACCAACAGCTGAGTGTCATCGGCGTATTGAAAAACTAGAGCTCCGTCTGCATGTAAGGACAAGTCGTTGGCAAAAATAGTGAATAAGAGCGGGCCTAACACAGAACCTTGGAAGACACCCATGCTGTTGGCGAGCGGCCGCGACAGCACCCTGCATCCGGACCCATCGTTCAGGGCAACACTCTGCGTGTGACCCTGAAGATAGGCGGCGAACCAGGAGATTTCAATGCCGTAAAGACAAAGTTTTTGAAGCAGAATGTCGTGTTTGATGACATCAAAACATTTACTTAAGTCTATAAGGCACAGCATTGAAATTTCCCCCCTATCGGTGGCGGACAGGATCTGATCGGATACGGATAAAAGCGCGGTTTCCGTGGAGTGGTGCGGCCGAAAACCGTGCTGGCTGGATGAAAGGAGATGATTGCTGGTCAGGTATGTGTAGAGTTGTCGGTGTACGATACGCTCCACTATTTTGGTGATGACCGGGACGAGGGATATAGGGCGGAAATTTGAAGGGTCAGAGGGGTCACCGGATTTATGGATAGGGCTGACTAAGGAGTGTTTCCAGGGAGCTGGGATATCTGAATGGGTGAGGCAGGAATTAATGATGTGCAGGAGGGGATCACCGATAGCTGGGAAACCGATCTTCAGCATGCGGATACAAATACCATCGGCACCGCAGGCAGCCGAACTCCGCATGCTGAAGATCGTGTGTCCGAGCATCTCCCGGGTAACAGGAGAGACCCTAAACGAACAGGCCCCAACACGGGGTAGACGCGTATTTGTGGCAGCCGCAGACCCCCGCGCCCCGACCTCCGCCGCCACCTTCGGACCAACAGATACAAAAAACTCGTTCAGCTGGTCAGCCGTGGCGTCGGGCCGCACAGACCCATCACCCCGCTTCCCAGCCACCACCGACCTAATACAGCGCCACACTCTACCCGGACCACGCTCGCTACCTGCTCCTGCTACCTGCTCTGACCTCCGCGCGCCGAACGCATCGCTGAACCGGCTGTCAGCGTACCGCCGGTCAAAGTCGCGTGATACGCGCCCCGCGGCCCAACCCGGCGGGCGTTCCGCGGGTGCAGCTGGCGTGCGCCGCCCCCTGGCGCGCGATGCGCGCCCCGCGGCCCAACCTGGCGGGCGCTCCGCGGGCGCGGCCGGCGCGCGCTGCTGCCGCTGCGGGCGGGCCGCCCACGCAGACCCGGCGGCGTGCCGCGGCCACCTGTAACTCGTGCGGCCAGCGCGGCCACTTTGCAGTGGTATGTGTCCAGGTGGCGCGGGAGAGCACCGTTGCCCCCGTCGAGCACGCAGCACCAGAGCCGCACATCGGCCGTCTAATACGAGACGTCTATGTAAACGGCGTCTCTACACGGCCGACACCTCCCGTGTCTGTTCGTCTGTCTACCGCAGCTGGTGTGTTCACCATGGCGGCCCGGGCCGACTCCGGTGCCGAGGCGACAGTCATCGGAGAAGACAGCCTGTCTTCTATCTGCGTGGAACCAGCGCAGTTGGAGCCCTGTATCGGCCAGCCCTTCTCAGCAGTGGGGAGACACCCGCTCACCTGTATCGGGTCGTTCCAGGCTGCTCTGGAGCTGGGCGACCGATCGACCACCGCCGCCGTGTTCGTCATCAAGGAGATGACTGGCCTGCTACTCAGCTGGTTCGACTGTGTGGCGCTGGGGATTCTGCCGAGGGATTTTCCGGCACAGATCCGGTCTGTCGAGGACGCACCGCGCCTCACTGATGACGTCACTCACTCTGGTGACGTCACACCCTCTGATGACGTCACACCGTCTGCACTGCCGGCCGCTGCCGGCTCTGCTCGATGCGCCAGCGACCGCCCTACCCCGTGTGAGACGCCGCGTGACAGGCTCTGTCCGGCCACCGGGGCCGAGACGGGCGGGCCGGCGCCGCCGGCCGATGGACCCAGCCCGGCCGCCGGCCTCGGCGGTCCGCTGCCGGCCTGGAACAGCGACTCAGACCCACCGGAGGCGGTCCGTGCCGCTCATGCCGCCGCTCTGGTGCAGTGTTTCCCGCGCGTGTTCGGGCAAGATTCGACTCTCCGAGTCATGGACGGCGGCCCGATGAAGATCGAACTCCGGCCCGACGCGAGTCCGACGTCGGTCACCGCCGCGAGACCGATTCCCTTCGCCTGGCGGGCGGAGGTGAAGGCGCAGCTGGACGACCTGCTGAACCGCGGCATCATCGTACCTGTGGACTACCCGACGGAATGGTGTCATCCCATTTCGTGCGTGCCGAAGAACCCGTCCGGGTTTCGACTCTGCGTGGACCTGACGGGACTCAATCGGTACGTGAATCGACCCACGTACCCCTGCCGGTCTCCTCACGATGCCGTGAAGAGTCTGCCCGCCGGGCACCGATGGATGTCGACTCTGGACGCCAAGATGGGCTACTTCCAGGTGCCGCTCGCTGAGTCAAGTCAGGACCTCACCTGCTTCATCACGCCGTGGGGCAGGTTCAAGTTCGTCCGCTGTCCGATGGGATGTAGTGCGTCTGGAGACGAGTACAACCGGCGCGGCGATGCAGCGCTCGGCGACATCCCAAACTGTGTCAAAATTGTTGATGACATTCTGGCCGTGGCACAGACGTACCGGCAGCACCTGCAGCAGGTGATCGAAGTCCTCCGGCGCTGTGACGACCGATGAATCACGCTGAACCCGCAGAAGTTCAAGTTCGCCCAGAATGAGGTCAAATTCTGCGGCTACAAGATCACACCGGCCGGCTACACCACCGACAATGAGAAGGCCCGCGCCATCGCTGATTTTCCGAGACCAGAAAACGTCACCGACCTGCGGTCCTTCATGGGTCTGGTGAATCAGCTGAGCGGCCTCACACCGGAGCTGGCAGGCTCGACTCAGGCCTTCAGAGACCTCCTCAAGTCGCGCCGGGTCTGGCGCTGGACTGAGCAGCACGAGGCAGCGTTTCTGCACACGAAGATTGTGCTGTCGTCACCGCCGGTGATGGCATTCTTCGACCCGCAGCTGCCGACCGTGCTACAGACTGACGCTGCTTAAACCCGAGGGCTGGGTTTTGCACTGCTCCAGAAGCACGGCGAGGACTGGCGTGTGGTCCAGTATGGCTCACGGTTCCTGACAGATACCGAGAGTCGGTATGCCGTCATCGAGGTGGAGCTGGCTGCTGTACTCTGGGCCTGCAAGAGGTGTCATGTCTACCTGGCTGGCATGCCGCACTTCGACCTGGTGGTCGACCACCGGCCGCTGGTGACCATCCTGAACTACAAGCAGCTCAACTCGATCGACAACCCGCGTCTGCAGAGGATGAGAGAGAAGTTGTCGGCCTACAGCTTCACCACCAGCTGGCAGAAGGGTTCGAGTCACGTGATCCCAGACGCGCTCTCACGAGCGCCCACCAGCGACCCCGCCGCCGACGACGACGGAGAGGTGGACGTAGCGGACGACCCGCTACACGCCTGCGTCATTGCCGCGCTGCAGGCCTCCGATCGGTCGGAAGACGGCGTCCAGCTGGCCCCGCTGATCGACTCAGCACTCGAGAGAGTCCGCGCCGCCGCGGAGCGCGACCCCGAGCACCGGGCTCTCAGCGAGGTGATTCTCGCCGGATTCCCAGAGAACCGGCACGAGGCGCCCCCGGCAGTGCGAGCTTACTGGGGAGTGCGCCATCAGCTCGCCATCGACGACGGGCTGGTGGTATATGGCGCTCGGCTGGTCGTCCCGTCCGCCCTCCGGCGCGGTGTGCTGGAGAAGCTCCATGACTCACACCAGGGCGTCGACCGCACCAAGCGCCGTGCCCGGCTCAGTGTGTACTGGCCGAGCATAGACAAACAGATCGCTGACACCGTCGCCGCCTGCGCTCAGTGCCGTCAGCGCCTGCCCAGTCACGCTCGGGAGCCGATGTGGCGGGAGGACGGCGCACCGACGCGCGTCTTCGAATCAGTCTCGGCCGACTACTTCTCCGCTGGAGGACACACGTACCTGGTGTACGTGGACCGGCTGTCCGGGTGGCCGTATGTCACTGTGTGTCCCCGCACGGCCTCGGCGGACCACCTGACGCGGCAGCTCCGACTGATGTTCTCGCAGACGGGCGTCCCGACCGTGTTCCGGTCAGACGGCGGACCCCAGTTTGCATCGGGCACGCTCCGCCGGTTCCTCCAGCGCTGGGACGTACGACATGAGATGTCATCACCGCACTACCCGCGCTCTAACGGGCACGCGGAGGCCTGCGTGAAGACAGCAAAGAAGCTGGTGCTGGCTGCGTCTTCATCGGGCCAACTGGACCAGGACCAAGTGGACCGAAGTCTGCTCGAACTCCGTAACACGCCCCGAGCAGACGGGCGGTCGCCGGCACAGGTGCTCTTTGGTCACCCGCTGCGCTCCGGAGTTCCCACGCACCACCGCGCCTTCGCTCCGGAGTGGCAGCGGGCGGCCGCTCTCTGCGAGGAAACGGCTGCCGAGCTCCAGGAGCAGGCCGTCAGGTGCTACAACAAGAGCACGCGCCGGCTGCCAGCGCTGAAGCTCGGCAGCCGCGTCGACATACAAGACCCCACCACCGGCCGATGGAACCGGATTGGGGTGATCGTGGGCGTCGGTCAGAGGCGCACGTACCTCGTCAAGACGGCCAGCGGCAGGGTCCTGTGGCGGAACCGCCGCTACCTCCGCCCGTACCGGCCGCTTCTGACGGAGCCCACCCCGCCTGTGGCTCCGTCCGCCCCGCGCCCGCCCGCTGCGGGTGCGCCCCAGCCGCCGCCGCCGCCGCCGCCGCTGCCAGAGCGCACCGCTGTCGCCGCCGAGCGGGCCGTCCGACCCGCCGCTGGTGCGCCTGTTGTGTACCGCTCGCCGCCGGTGTGGTCACCCGAGGTGGAGACGGCCGCCGCCGCCGCTCTCCCGCGTCGTTCTCAACGGCAGCGCCGCGGTCCTGGTCGGCTCCAAGTTCGTTGGGGTGCGACCTCGTATGAGGAGTGAGACAACGTCGTGCAGTGTTGTGTTTTTGGTATTTTCACGACTGTTGTCTCGAGGGGGAGATGTTGTGTTTGTGTATAGGCCCCCCCCCCGAGGCCCCCTACTTGGACCGCCTCTGCGACCCCACTGGGCCAGGTGCCTGTGAGCGCCCCTGACGGCGCCAGCTGACCGTGCGCGCCAAGCGGCGTGACTGGCGCACGGGACGTGGGCTGGCGCTCGCCATACTTGTTCACGTTTTGTGTTTCTCTTTCGGCTTAACGTATCGCAGTAAATAAATCGCTTTAATCCGTTTATATATTTCCATATCGAACCGATAAACGACAACTAAACAGGGTTTGTGGGGCGCTGCTGCCAGGTAGACGTCGATGAATACCTTTCGATGGAGGGGTCGCGAGCCACTGGTGCGCGAATAGTCGTGGAGGGTTACTACTCTCCAGAGTGAATTGCGAAAGTGTTATGTCCTAAATTGAATCCTGGGAGGGTGGTTAAAAATGGTTGCGGATAGGGGTACCCGCGAGGCACCGGTTTACTCGCCAGTTTTGGGTGAAATTGTTTTCAGTGTGCAGAAGTTGACCTTGTTGCCGATTCATTTATGTATGTACCATGTATTATCGCTGTTTGAATTTCTTTTTTAAAAGGCGCTTAATTATTTTATGCTTTATTCTGTCTCTTTGGAAGTCTTAATTTAACTGTGTCTCGGGAAAGACCTCGAGACTTTTTAAGTTGACCTTATTCTTCTCTTGACCGTGACATTTTTGAAAGCAGAGGAAAAAATATTTCATTGTGTTAACTTTGGCTTTGTTTGTGAATCGAAAATAGACATTGCTTCTGTAATGAAAATACCTCTCCTTGTTGCAGTACGCAACAATTCATGAAATATTTTTCTTAAGTGCTTAACGAGTGCTGTTCCTGTTTATATTAACGTAATACTTGCTTCAAAAGTACTGTTTGATTATTACATGATGTAATGTTTGCTCCGAAATAATTTTAAGGTAGCTACTCTTAAGATTCAGCGTTTGCCTGGCAATTTCAAGCCTTTTCACTATTTATAATAAACGATGAGTTATAACGTAAGTGAAAGGCCTACGCCAGCACCTCGGCGAAGGTTGCAGCCGCACAATCGGCCCACTCCCATGCCCCGTCACAATCGAAGCTGGCTAACGGTTTCTGAAGCCGCAAAAAGCGTGGAGAGTGTGAATGCTGCAATCACTCGAGAGGAGCAGATCTTCGAAGAAGAACGCCTGGAACAAGCAGTCAGGGAAGCTGAACTGGAACTCGAACGAGTCAAGGAAAGGCATCGATTGCAGCTGTCTAGGATCAGAAACGGCGACACATCGTCTACAATATCCGACCGTGAATACGAAACCGATCGTGATATGTCTCGACCGACGAAAGCCGAGCCGCGTGTCGTCTCTCCGATTTTGCAACAGCAACGAAGCTCGACCCCGACGCGTCTTTACATACAAGAAGCGGTGAAACTCGACTTCACCATATTCGATGGGAAGTATGAAGAATTACCATTTTTTGAGGCTCAAGTTGATGAAGCGGTGCGCCTACGCTACTCGGAGACACAGATTCTCCGACACCTAAAAGAGAGGTTGCGGGGAGTCGCATTCGAAGCCGTGCATGGTGCGCTTCTCACCGGAGGGAGCTTTGGAGATGTATGGACCAATGGACCATATTAAAGGAACGATTTGGTGATCCTCAGATAATTGTGAACCGAACAGTGAGGAAACTGATGGAAACACCGCCGCTAAAAGAAGGTGACATTGACGCACTGGAACGGTTCTCGACCGACATATCAAACGCGGTGGCCATCATCAGGCACGTAGGCCAGTCCAGTGTTAGGGGTTGTGGTATGCGACTGTAGCGAGGGGAATTAGAAAGAAGAAGGAAATAATGAAAAATGCTTCATCTTCACTCAGCGGTCCTCTGTCGTCCAGCTGGGAGAGATGTAGGTATAGATCCACCTTGCATACAAATACATCTGATGGAAGATGCTTTTTAATTTAGAGGCTTGATGATTCTGTTCATTGTATAGACCATGATGCACGAGATGCTTCTTCACTGCTCGGATTAGGGATAGAGGGATCCGATCAGCTGGGTTTGCGGCACAGTTGGGCAGGTGAAGGACAGGGCATTCGAAGTCCCGATGACCACTGCCAAACTTATGGGTGGTAATTACATTGATTAATTGAATGTGATCATTCGTCCAGTCACCCATTCCTATATCACTGGCCTCCCCATTACGAAAATTGCCCACTTAATTCGTATTAGCGTTGCTATAGTTTAGTTGCCCTCGAGGGTTGCTAGCTCGACTGCCGTAACCGAATTCTACGCAATTCCTATCGGCCTTATTCTAAGATTCATCCTTCAACATTCTCACACCCTTGCTCGCGTTACATTCACCTTTCATGTATTCACCCAAATTTAATTCGTAGCCCTCGAAATTCCCTCCGATAGTGTTAGGCGTCGGATCAACAACGATCTCCCCGGCGAGATAAATGTCTCTTTCCGAAATCCATATGCATGCTCCGCTAACCGGCGACAAAGATACTTATCGCAGGGCCGTCCAGAATAATTGCACAAATATCCACCCTACTAATTTATGGGATTCACTACACGTCCGATAGACTTATGGTACACACATACACGATTTATATCCGACTTATCTCTCTACCGGGAGAGATTACCTATGCCCTCTTCCGGTCCGCGTGTAACATTCCCGTCCACGACCCAGGGACCACAGTTCATATCCTGGAACTATCCTTAAACCATGGGATTTACTCTTCAAGGCCTTACGTGTCCTGGAGTACATTCTTCCCTCCCCTGAGGCTGTCCAGTACCGATTAGAGTACCTTTACGAAATAAGTATGAGGACTTATTCGGGACACTACGGCTCGCTTTATCCGCCCTTTGGGTGACTCACCCCTGACCTTCGGCTTCTTGCCTTTGGCATAACTTACTCTCCAATGCATACTGTGCCAATCTTCCCCTTCCCCCTGCCGTAGAAACCTCTCACTGCCTTCTCACCCAGTGTTACCTAAGCGGGAAAATTAACAGTGGCCGGTACCACTGGCGGAAAACGTGCATATGCCCTGCGTACGTGACGGTGTGTCCCTCTTATTATTCCGGTCTGGAGTGGGTTTAGAGAAGTGCATCTGTGTCTCATACGGTCATGCTGGTAAACGTTACGCCATAGGAGACGGGCAAACAAGCCGTCTGTGCCTCACAATGCCCTGTGCCAATATTGGTGGAGTAATTATTGGCGCTAACTCGCAAGAACGCGAATAACAGAAACGCATTATTGATCCAAACCTTATCGTAATCTCAAGTCCTAATTGCTGCTGCACGCGTGAACCTAATCATCAGTTCTCGTATACGATCTAGCAGAACTTGAACCGCTCTTGATTTAATCAGATGATCTAGGCCCAATTAGTACGCACCGATCTGTCGTCTGGTTGTGATCCACCGTATAATAGTAAATTACTGAATGCTCAAACGGAAGTGACTCATTAAATTTCGCTCGATAGCTTCTGATGGACTAATAGTTACCTATACAAATTATCTTTATAGAGTTCCAAAATATTGTCATAGCTTTTCAGAGGAAACCTAATTTAAATCATATTATCAACAGTAAACAATGCATATGAGAAGAACTGCAGTCCTAGATATTACATTGCATTTCGTATTTGAAATTATGTCCTAGCCTTTAACGTTCTTAACCCGTCGCAACTTTCCACAACTAACCATGCTCCTATTCCGTCAGGATGACCTTGACCTACCGTACACACGTCAATTACGGTTAGCCCACTGCCCCTGTTATGGCTGCTTCTCGCGCCCTCTGGCGGCCCAACGCCCGCGTCGGGGACGACGAATACCACGGCCGCCGGCCGGCGCCGCGTCGACACCGTCAGTCACAGTCACGCCGTTATGGGCGCGTCAACACTCGCGGTACAGTGCTCGTGTGTGTTGTCTCTTCTGGCCGGGTAGATTCACCGGATGTGTCAGTGAGTGTGAATCTGGTAAAATATTGCTGCAATATCTCCCTGTTCGACACCTCATCAGCTCCATTCGACGTAAGTTTTTTTTAAAAATTAAATTCCTGTCCCATTTAATCGTTCCCCAACAAAGATGGTCCTTTCTAGTATTTATTCTACAAAAGCACAACGATCGGTACCTATATTAGTCGCATATTAGTTCTAATCACAAACAATTCTACATCTACCTGTTACTCGACATTTCGCAATTTCAATGACGCAAAGTGACCATCTAAAGTCGCAAAGTGTCAAACCGTCAACCCCAAACCACTGCTCACAACTCTGCACCTAAGTAGCAGAAGAAATTCCGCCGTCAGCTCAAGCATTCGTATCTGTCGAAAATCAAAACTCATAGCCATATTCATAGATCGATCGCATGAATCAGTCGCCACCTTAAAACATTACATTCGCTTTCCACCGTATTTACCTGTTCAATAATTGATTTCGACTTCGCAATTAATTCCTTCAGCAATATTACCAATAATTTCGCAATGCAACTTTTAGTGAATTAAGCACGAATCTACACCATTAATTTCACAAACGAATTCCAACCTCAAATCGCACTTGACCACCGCCGATTATGATAAATCGAACGAACCAGTCTGACCAAAGACAATGACATATTCAATGTTGTCACGCATCCTGTCATCAATTTCAGCGTTCGTGACACTGAGCTGCTTATTCAAATTTTAGGATTTCGCTCACGGCCTAATCGTGAATTCCAACGGACGATAACGAGTTGCTGGCGACTCTGACATGACCTCGAAATTCAGATCCTAATATGCTACTAGGGTGTCTGGACTAGAGATGTCAATCGGATACCAACTTTTTGGTATACCGATACCAAACCGATACCAACTTGGTATTTGGTATTTCAATCGTAATGTGTTTGGTATTTTGTTGGTATCATAAACCCTCACTTATGTATAAGAGGCTAAAAAATCGGTAAAAAGTTGGTATTTCCCTCATTTTCACAAGTTGGTTTGGTTTCGGTATTTTCCCGTGGTTTTGGTTGGTATTTGGTTTGGTATCGGTATTCCGAATTTCCGTAATTGACATCACTAGTCTGGACCAATAAGTTCAAAGTAATTTAAGTTTTCCAATT